ACAGACCTATAGATTCAACAGGCGAACGCGCCTGATGATTCCAAGTGCGATAGGTGTGCTTACCAGCACTTTAGCTGCCCTACAGCTCGAGTTAAGTAGAAAATACCGAGAACGCGTATCAAGTTGACTCGAATAATACGAATAGGTTTGCGGACCTAGCTCGGCTAGCAGACCGGGTTCAGACCTATGGATTCGACAGGCGAACGCGCCTGATGATTCTGAGTGCGATAGGTGTGCTTACCAGCACTGAAGCTGCCCTACAGCTCGAGTTAAGTAGACAATACCGACAACGCGTATCAAGATCACTCGAAACAGTCGATCCTGCCGGAACGCTTTTTGGCAGTAAAAGGTACCCGATCGAGCTGAGATCAAGATGGCGAGCAGGAATGAAATCGAATATCACGGGAAAAAATACTAGAGCTCAAACGAATGGTTAAATTTCGAGAACAAAATTTTCAACGGACCAAAAGTCACCAAAAGGTCCGTCGAGATTTTTCTTGCCAACTAGCTCTCCAGCGCTCCGGAACTGGCGCCGGCGGTGAACCGTCAACCTGGTCACCGCCGGGAACCTCGTAGAGCTCCTCCCACTGATGAGAGTGCTGGGAATCGACACAGGGTAAAAAAATATAGATTTTTCGAAAATCTTCATTTTCGATTCTTCCGATGTGGATATTCGCTCAGTTCCTGGAAGTCAACTCATGCAAAAATGCATCGGGAGAGCTGAGCTGCTGTCAGAGAGGAGTTTATATGCCAATGGTCAAAATAAATAAATGGTCAAATATCTTTCAAACTGGGCGCCGGCGGTAAACCGTCAACCTTTGTTACCGCCGGGGGACTCGTAGAGCTTCCTGACAACATATAATGTCGAAAAAAAATTACACTGAAAAAATAGTTTTTCAGCCCAAGCAATTTCAGACCTCTCGGATGCAACAGCTGGACGCCCCCGATGCTTCTGGATGTACGAGCTCTGTAGCTCTCCTACAGCCCGAGTTACGTGCGTAAATCGACAGCACCTCTCAAGATGACTCGAACAATACGAATAGTTTGGCAAACCTAGCTCGAGTATCAGATCGAGTTCAGACCTCTGCATACGACAGGCGGACGCGTCTGATGTCTCTGAATCGAGTTATCTTATTACCAGCCCTGCAGCCACCCCTACAGCCCGAGTTAAGTGCAGGAAACCGACAGCACCTCTCAGGATGACTCGAACAATACGAATAGCTTCGCGGACCTAGTTCGGGCAGCAGACAGAGTTCGGAGCTCTGGATTCGAAAGACGGGCGCGCCTGATGTCTCCGAATCGATTGCTGTGATTACCAGCCCTGCAGTCCCCTTACAGCCTGAGTTAAGTGCAGAGAACCGACAGCATCTCTCAAGATGACTTGAACAATACGATTAGTTTCGCGATTCTAGATCGGGCAGCAGACCGAGTTCAGAGCTCCGGATTCAATAGAGGACGGCAACTGATGATTCTGAATCAGATTCTGTACGCATCAGCTCTGTAGCTGTCCTGAAGCTCGAGTTAGGTACAGAAAACCGAGAACGTCTGTCAAGACGACTCGAATAATACGAATAGGTTTGCGGACCTAGCTCGGCTAGCAGACCGAGTTCAGACCTCTCGGTTCAACAGGCGAACGCGCCTAATCATTCTACATCGATTAGCTGTGCTTACCAGCCCTGTAGCTGTCCTCAAGCTCGAGTTATCTTGGGAAAACCGTCACCGCGTGACAAGATCACCCGAAACGGGCGATCCCGCCTGCCTGCTTTTCGGCAGTAAAAGGTACCCGATCGAGCTGAGATCAAGATGGCGAGCGGGAATAAGATCGAATATTATGGGAAAAAATACTAGAGCTCAAACGAATTGTTGAATTTCGAGAACAAAATGTTCAACTGACCAAAAGTCAGCAAAAGGTCGGTCGAGATTTTTCTTGCCAACTAGCTCTCCAGCGCCCCGGAATTACTCTTAAGCTTCCAGCAATAACTTGCTAAGGGAAGCTCTACGAGTTATGGGCGCCGGCGGTAAACCGTCAACCTTTCTCACCGCCGGGGGACTCGTAGAGCTTCCTGACAATATATACTGTCGGAAAAAGTTGCAGAGACCGAATACTTTTTCAGCCCAAGCGATTTCAGAACTCTCGATGCAACAGCCGAACGCCTCCCGATGCTTCTGGATTGTCTTCTGTACCAGCTCTGCAGCTCTCCTACAGCCCGAGTTACGTGCGTCAATCGACAGCACCCCTGAAGATGACTCGAACAATACAAATAGTTTGGCAATCCCGGCTCGATTATCAGTTGAGACCTCTGAATGCGACAGGCGGACGCGTCTGATGTCTCCGAATCGAATCCTGTGATTACCAGCCCTGCAGCCCCCCTACAGCCCGATTTAAGTGCAGAAAGCCGACAGCATCTTTCAGGATGACTCGGACAATACGGACCGAGCTCGGGCAGCAGACTGGATTCCACAGGACGCGCCTGATGTCTCCAAATCGATTGCTCTCACCACCAGCACTGTAGCCCCCCTAGAGCCCGAGTAAGTGCAGAAACCGACAGCACCTCTCAAGATGACTCGAACAATACGAACAGTTTCGCGATTCTGGATCGGGCAACAGACCGAGTTCAGAGCTCTAGATTCAACAGACAAACGCGACTGATGATTTTCAATTGGTTTCTGTAAGCATCAGCCCTGTAGCTGTCCTATAGCTCGAGTTAGGTACAGAAATCCGAGAGCGCCTGTCAAGATGACTCGAATAATACGAATAGGTTTGCGGACCTAGCTCGGCTAGCAGACCCAGTTCAGACCTCTAGTTGGAACAGCCGAACGCGCCTGATCATTCTGAATCGATTAGCTGTGCTTACCACCTCGAGTTAAGTTCACGATACCGCGAATGAAGATAACTCGAAACGACTGATCCCGCCGGAGTGCTTTTTGGCAGTAAAAGGTACCCGATCGAGCTGAGATCAAGATGGCGAGCGGGAATAAGATCGAATATTATGGGAAAAAATACTAGAGCTCAAACGAATTGTTGAATTTCGAGAACAAAATGTTCAACTGACCAAAAGTCAGCAAAAGGTCGGTCGAGATTTTTCTTGCCAACTAGCTCTCCAGCGCCCCGGAATTACTCTTAAGCTTCCAGCAATAACTTGCTAAGGGAAGCTCTACGAGTTATGGGCGCCGGCGGTAAACCGTCAACCTTTCTCACCGCCGGGGGACTCGTAGAGCTTCCTGACAATATATACTGTCGGAAAAAGTTGCAGAGACCGAATACTTTTTCAGCCCAAGCGATTTCAGAACTCTCGATGCAACAGCCGAACGCCTCCCGATGCTTCTGGATTGTCTTCTGTACCAGCTCTGCAGCTCTCCTACAGCCCGAGTTACGTGCGTCAATCGACAGCACCCCTGAAGATGACTCGAACAATACAAATAGTTTGGCAATCCCGGCTCGATTATCAGTTGAGACCTCTGAATGCGACAGGCGGACGCGTCTGATGTCTCCGAATCGAATCCTGTGATTACCAGCCCTGCAGCCCCCCTACAGCCCGATTGAAGTGCAGAAAGCCGACAGCATCTTTCAGGATGACTCGGACAATACGGACCGAGCTCGGGCAGCAGACTGGATTCCACAGGACGCGCCTGATGTCTCCAAATCGATTGCTCTCACCACCAGCACTGTAGCCCCCCTAGAGCCCGAGTAAGTGCAGAAACCGACAGCACCTCTCAAGATGACTCGAACAATACGAACAGTTTCGCGATTCTGGATCGGGCAACAGACCGAGTTCAGAGCTCTAGATTCAACAGACAAACGCGACTGATGATTTTCAATTGGTTTCTGTAAGCATCAGCCCTGTAGCTGTCCTATAGCTCGAGTTAGGTACAGAAATCCGAGAGCGCCTGTCAAGATGACTCGAATAATACGAATAGGTTTGCGGACCTAGCTCGGCTAGCAGACCCAGTTCAGACCTCTAGTTGGAACAGCCGAACGCGCCTGATCATTCTGAATCGATTAGCTGTGCTTACCACCTCGAGTTAAGTTCACGATACCGCGAATGAAGATAACTCGAAACGACTGATCCCGCCGGAGTGCTTTTTGGCAGTAGAAGGTACCCGATCGAGCTGAGATCAAGATGGCGAGCGAAGATAAGATCTAATATCACGGGAAAGAATATTAGAGTTCTAACGAATTGTTGAATTTCGAGAACAAAGTTTTCAACCGACCAAAAGTCACCAAAAGGTCCGTCGAAATTTTCCTTGCCAACTAGCTCTCCAGCGCCCGGGAATTACTCTTAAGCTTCCAGCAATAACTTGCTAAGGGAAGCTCTACGAGTTACTTGGTAGCGTCCAAAACCCGGAGAGCGAAGAGGCCCTTTGCAAATGGGGAATCTTGAGCTCTGTGAACCTCCCCAGCAGCGCTGCCGAAGCGCTGGCGGAAACGCTTCCACGCGTACCTGCACGCGCGCAGGCACGCGTGGAAGCTTGCCGGAAGCTCTCCCGGACCAGCTGCCGGATCACCGGAGCCGCTGCGGGGAACGTGGAGCGCCGGACAGGAGCTCCTGGCGGGCACCACCACCGTCCGGCTTCTAATCTTAAACCCTTTAGCTCTCAGCGAGCTCTCCGGGAATTTTCGCAAAACCACCGAAAAGTTGTCACATTGTTCGCCTCGGCCGGGTGGGCCAACTAGCTCCACTCCGCGCCGGAATTCCTCTAGCTCATCGATGCTGAAGAGCTCTACGAGGTATCTTCGCTGGAGAGCTCTAGGAAGCCCCTCTGCAGCGCTGCCGAAGCGCTGGCAGAAACACTTCCATGCGTGCCTGCACGCGTGCAGGCACGCGTGGAAGCTTGCCGGAAGCTCTCCCGGACACGTTGCCTGGTCGAAAAAGCCGCTGCGGGGATCGTGGAGCGGCGGAGATGGGCTGCTGGCGAGAACCACCACCGTCCGGCTTCTAATCTTAAACCCTTTAGCCCTCAGCGAGCTCTCCGGGAATCTTTCCATGTCTCGAAAGGACCTCGTGCACGGACGGCACCCGCAGGAGCAGCTGCAGCACGCCGTTGACGTAGCACGTGTTCCACAAATTCCCCATGCCCACCACGGGTACGCCGGCGACCTCTCCCCATCCACCATCTTGCCACTCCTCAGCGCCCGGCACGACAATGGCAGACGGCGCGGAGATCTGAACACCCTCGCCCAGCCCCTCCACCTCGACGACGAAGTCCTGATCGAACAGCGACTCCCTGCCGAAAGCCGCATCGTGCAACGCCTGCCTCCAGCGTGCCCTCTCGCGAGCCGCCCTCTGCTGGCCCCTCGCAAACGCCTCGCGGTCCCTCTCCGCGGCCCTCTCCCTGTCGAGCCCCTGCTGATCCCTGGCAGCCTGCCGGCGATCCCGGACCTCCTGCGCCTCTCGCTCCCCGCCGACCTCACAGACCCTACACACCTCCCCACGCCGCACCCGGGCTGCCTCCTCGCGCCCCCTGCCTCGCAGCGCAAAGACGTCTGCCACGTCCACGTACACCATCAACCCGAAGTGGTCGGACGCGCAGAACTGCACGCCTTCGAACACGACAGGCCCCCGCGCCATCACATGCGCCCGGGCAAACAACTTCTCCCCGAACATCGCGCGGTCAAAACGGAAGCCGGGGCCGCTGCACTGCTGATCTGCGAAAAACCTATTCCACCTCACGCCCCAGGTCTTCCCAGCGCACGTGGCATCGCACATGCCCTCAGCCTCGCACAGCGCTGCGACCTCCTCGTCCCGCACGTTCCAGTCGCCCACGACCAAGACCCTGGCACGCTCCGCCCCGCTCTCGTCCAGCGACCGCAGCGCCTCTCCCAGCGCGGCAGCGCGCTGCGCCGCCCTGTCCCCGGCAGGCAAATGCACTGCCAAGACGCAGACCTCGTCCGCCGCGGCACCGCCTCGGCCCGGCGCCACCCTGACGCGCGCAGCCACGCCAGCAGCCGAGGAAGCCTCACACAACAGCCGCTCCGCCTCCATGCCCCTGCGAACGTACAAGTGGACGTACCCCCGCGTCGCCGCTGCCGGCGTGGCGCCCAAGAACTGGCACTGGTCGAGCAGCTCGCCCATCGCGCCCGCCTCCTCGCACTCCTAGAGCGCCGCAACGTCGCAGCCGAAGGCCCTCCGCCACCCCAAGATCTCGGCAACCAAGGCTGCCCTCTGATCTCTCTCCCCATACCTGGGAGGAGCCTGCGCCGACCAAGACCCGCCGGCAAAGTTCCACGCGCCCACGCGCAGCCGCACCCCCGCGGTCGCCCCGTCGCCGCGGCCCCGCTCCAGAGCAGAAGTCCGCCCCCCAGAGACGCTGCCGGCCGCTGCTTCCGCGCCCTCCCCCTCGGCCTCGCCGCCCCTGCGCACCAGCGACGGCGCGTGGCCCAGCGACCGCAGCACCGCCCTGCACGCGTCCACCTCAACCAACAGAACAGAAACATCCGAAGCGCCCTCCTGCCGGAGACGCGCCCGAAAGCCCGCGAAGACTGCCGCCACCGCCTGGCCCGCGTCTGGCGCGAACGTCTTCGACGCCATGTCCAAGCCTCTCTCCCCGGCAGCCCTGGACACCAGAGTGAGCAAGACCCCGAACGCGCAGAGGCAGCGCTGCTGAGACACCCAGCACTCGGGAACCCCCTCCTCCATGATCGTCTCCGGCCCCGCCTGGCCCGCCACCGCCGAGGCGGGTCCGCGCACCAACGCGTCCAAGTTCAAGGCCACTCGACGCGCCGCACCCTGCCGTCGCATTTCATCGTACACGCGGACGACCAACGCTCTGCGCGCCCCAGGACTTCCCCCTCTGACGCAGACCTCACGGACACGCAGAACCAGTCGCGCCCCTTCTCGTCCACCGCGACAGGCAACACCAGCTCCTTCTTCCCCGCCACATCCGCCCGATTCCACACCTTCTTCCAGCCGCCCATGATATTCCTGAACTGCTCCGCGGACTCCGCCCGCCCGGCATGCAGACCGACCGTCTTGCTCGCCACCGCGACAGGCAGCGCCAGGACGCCGCAAATCCGCTGCAACACCTTCAGGAAAAACTCCAGGACGTCCTCCGTGAACCGGCCGCGGCGCAAAGCATCCTCCGACCGCACGTTCACCCTGTAGCGGTCCATGAGCAAGTAGCTCGCCCCCCCCCCCAACACCGCAACGTCCTTCTGGGCCGCCACGAACCGATCCAGACTCCCGTGAAGCGCGGCCGGAATCAATGCTCCCAGAGCCTCCTTCACCGCGGACATGTGCAGAGGCCGCATCTCCGGCGAGAGGGCGTCCTCCACCCTGCCGCCCCAGTACCCCAACACGTCCTGCCGCCGAAGCATCCCCGTCGCCAGCTCGCCCAGCTGAACCTCCCGTTCATCGCGCCCCCCCGCAACCTCGCGCGCAGCATCGCGAAGGGCGCCCTCGCACAGCACGCCGTCCACCCGCCCGAAGCCCCTATCGCGGCCGACGGCCGCCCGCGCAACACCCAGGCGCACAAGAAGAGCCTCCGCGTCGACGCGCTCCGACCCGCTGAGCTCCCTCACGCGCACGTTGCCCAGAAGCCTCTGCGCCACGGACAGCAGCAAACGTCGCCGACCCTGATCTCCGCGCGCCTCCCGCTCGACCACGGTCGCGAGAAGGCCGTCATAGTCCGGCAACTCGTCTCCCCACAGCCACGCGTCGCCGTCCACCGCCCTGCACATGCCCCGCGCACTGAACCCCTGCAGCCCGGCGCGCCGCTCCTCCCCCACCACCCGAAGGCCCTCCATCAGCACAGCCGCAGCGCCCTGCTCGACCGGCGCCCACGCGTCCGCCCGGCAGCACCCGCACCGCCTCAACGTCCTGGACGCGCGAGCCTCGCAGCGCAGCTCGTAGCGCCGGCGCTCGCGAAACGCGCGCGCGCGACGAACTCGCACGAACGCCTCGTACTCCGGCAGGTCCTCCTCGAAGACAACATCCCACGGATGCCGCACACGCGTGCACGCCACGAACCCGATGCCCGGGGCGCCCGCCGTCCTCGCGGACAAGTGCACCCTCACCCGCTCCAGCGTCATGCCCTGGGCCTTCCAGTGCGTCAGCGCCCACGCCAACTGCAGCGGGAATTCGACCGTGCCAGGCCCTCCTCCACCGTCGACGCCACCGCCTTGCGGAATATAGGCACCCAGTCCCCGCGCACGTCGTCCCCCGGGAAAAAGGATCGCGGGCGCCCGTGCGCGTCGCGGAGCTGCACGCTGTCGAACCGCACGAAGACGCAGATCGGGGCCGCGCGGCCCTTGCGGGCCCGATCGCCGTCGTGAGGGTCCGCGTTCTCCGGCCACACGCACCCCACCACCGCCCCCATGGCACCGTTCATCTGCCCCGCCTCCACCCACAGGTTCTCCGTCAGCAGCACCCGCGCCCCCTCGCACACGAAGATCTCGTCGTCGTCGTCGTCGTCATCGTCGTCGTCGTCGTCGTCGTCGTCGTCGTCGTCGTCGTCGTCGTCGTCGTCGTCGTCGTCGTCAGACAGATTCCCGGCGACCCTGGGGCCCGAAAACAGCCTCCAGAGGACCGGAAAGCTAAGAAAACTCCTCTGAATTCGTTCGACGACGACGACGGCGAGAAGTCACATCCCGGCGGACGGACTCGAGAGCCCCGCGGGCCCACGCTGCGACAGGCGCCACGGCGTCGCCGTCGCCGTCGCCGTCGTCGTCGTCGTCGCCGTCGCCGTCGCCGTCGCCAGCGCCGTCGCCGTCGCCGTCGCCGCGCCCCCCCCCCCCCCTGACCTACGGTGACACTACGAGCACCTGGATGGGGACACAGTCCAACTGCTGGGCGCCATTCCCCGACACCCTGCTGGCGTAGACGTACTGGTCGTATTCGTTCTCTGCGGTGCCGGCCCCCTCCCCCTCGTTAACGAGAGGGTAGACGTGGACCACCTCCGAAGGGCGACCACGACGCCGACAACGCCAACGACGGCGACGACGACCACCACCACCACGACGACGACGACGACGACCACGACAACCACGGCGAAAGCGACGACGAGAGCGACAACCACGGCGAATACAACGACGCCCACGGCGACGCCGACGGAATCGGCAACGGCGACGCAGACGGAATCGCCGGCGGCGGCGACGACAACGACAACGACGCGAGAACGACAACAACGAGAACGACAGCGGCAGCGCCGACGAAGACACCCACGACGATGACGACGACGACGACGACAAAAAAGACGATGACGACCCCGATTCGCCGCCGGAACCTCATCCGCCGCACCGTGAGGTAGCCGCGGAACTCCGCCGAGTAGCCGCAGACCGCCAGAAACTCCCCGCCTCCGCCGTCGCCACCGCCGTCGTCGTCGTGGTCGTTCACGTCGTCGTCATCGTCGTCGTCCTGATCATCACCATCATCCCCGTCTCCGTCTCCGTCTCCGTCTCCGTCTCCGTCGTCGCCGCCATCGTCGTCGTCGTCGCCGTCGTCGACGGCGTCGTCGTCGTCGTTGTCGTCGTCGCCACCGCGGAGCAGCTCGCTGCGGCTGCGAGCCGGCGCGGCCCCCACGCGGCCCACTGCCTGTCGAATGAGACGGAGACGACGACGACGACGACGACGACGACGACGACGACGACGACGACGACGACGACGACGACGACGACGACCACGACCAAGACCACCACCACGACGACGACGACGACCGCGACGACGCTGGCGACCCCGCCACCAGCGCCTCTTCCCGGCGCTGCGCCACCACGGGCGCCGACACCACACGCCGCTCCTCCTCCTCCGCGCGGCGCCGCGCCTCCACCTCGCGCTCTGCCTGTCGACAGAAACGGAGACGACGACGACGACGACGACGACGACGACATCGACAACCCAACCAAGACCACTACCACGACAACGACGACAACGACGACGACCAAGACCACTACCACGACGACGACGACGACGACCCCGACAACCCCGACGCCGACGACACCGCCACCGCCTCCGCCTCGCGCTCTGCCTGTCGACAGAGACGGAGACGACGACGACGACGACGACGACGACGACGACGACGACGACGACGACAACGACCCAACCAAGACCACTACCACGACGACGACGACGACAACGACGACGACCCCGACGACCCCGCCGCCAGCGCCTCGCGGCGCTCCCCCTCCAGCACCACCATCGCCTGAAGGGTCAGTCTCGGCACCGACGACGGCGGCGGCGGCGACGACGACAGCGGCGGCGACGACGACGACGACAGCAGCGACAACGACGACGACGACGACAGCGGCGGCGACGGCGACGACGACGCACGACTGAGGGGGCTCGGGACAGGACGGCGTGCACTGCGCCACCGGGGTCCCCCCTCGTCGTCATCGCCGTCGCCGCCGCCGCCGCCGTCGTCGTCGTCGTCGTCGTCGTCGTCGCCGCCGTCGTGATCGTGGTCGCCGTCGTCGTCGCCGTCGTCGTCGTCCTCGTCGTCCTCGTCGTCCTCCTCGTCCTCCAACCAAGTCTTCCTCGTGGTCCTCCTCCTCCCCCGACCCGCGCGCGCCTCAGCCAGCTCGACCTCCGCCTCCGTCAACGCCTCCTCGCACTCCTCCACCCACCTCTCCGCGCCCCGAACCCCGCCGCCACGCGCCGCCCGCCGCGACGCAGCGCGGGGCGGCGCTCCGCCCGACGCCGCGCCCGCCGACACAGCCCCCGCCGCCTGCCCCCGCCGATCTCCGATACCGACGTGCCACGGCTCGCGCTTGATGAAGCGCACGCCGCCGGCCCCGTCATCCCCCCACATGCCATTGGCCCACAGGCTAGGGCACTTACCCGCCGGGCCCAACGGGCCAGAGACGTAGAAAGATCACCGGTAACTGCTTTCCTATATGTCCACTTCGCGCGCGCGGGGCGGCACCTACAGGTCCCCAGAAGAAAAGTACCACAGGAGGGGCCCGACAGGTCGAGTGAAAGAGAACTATCCTCCTGGTCGCCGCCCTCGAGGCGCTCCGGAGAGCCCCAAGAAGAACCGGAAGCCACCCGCAAGGCCCGCGACGTGATACGCGACGGGTCCGAGACGCCACAAGATCGCTCCGAACGCCGGAGACGGCCCCCAAACAGCCCAAAAGGGCCTCCAAAAGCATTCACGAAAGCGCCCCAAAAATCCAACTTTTCCGAAGGTTCTGGAAAGAGCTTGGCGCTGCCACCCTTTCGGCATCCCGACGCCCCAAGACACCCCAGGAGACCTCCAAGACCGCCCCAAATAAACCGAAAACCCCCCAAAAAGACCCCAGGACAGACGAAGAGAGCTCCGCGCAGCCCAAAAGGCTTCAACCACGGCCCAAGAGGGCACCAACATAGCCCCAACAGGGGAACACGAAACAACGCTGCGAGGACTCTACCCAAAGAAGCCCCCAAGAGATCGCAAGAGGCCCCTGAGAGGCCCCAGGAGGCCCCCGAAAGGCCCTCAGGAGACTCCGAAGACCCCCCCCCCCCGCCGCGCCCAAGCGACCCCGAGAGGCCCTCCAAATACTCCAGGGAAGCGCAGGCGATGCTACAATATAGACCGGCGGAATGAGCAAAGCGATTGAATTGCACATGCGCTTGCCCGCGAAATTGAGGTTAGCGCACATCTCGCACTGCCAGTCGCCCGGCTCGGGCGCACGCCGCCAACCCCGCCCGCGCCCGTGCCCCTTGGCGCTCCACTGCGAGCCGTCGCCCATCGCGCCAGCCGCCTCCGCTCTCTGTCGCCGTCGTCGTCATTGTCGCCGCCGCCGTCGCCGTCGTCGTCGTTCCGAACAATTCGGGCACCAAGGGAAAGCTATCGGCGAGACGCAGCTGATGGAGGCATCCCGAGGCCCGAACACCTAGAGGAACCAGCGAAAACCGTTAGAACCCCCCAGTAACCCGATGCTAAAAATCTGCATCGATCTCCCGCCCGACCGAATCCACGCGGAAATCGAACCCCCGACGCCTCCTGGCGCCCGCGCTAACCAGAAGCTGTCCGAGCCGTGTTCAGCCGTGGCAACGGCAGTCAGGAACACGAGGAACGGCGGGAGGAGGAAGGGACATAAGAAATGCTGCGGAGGCTACTGCCTCATACCTCCCCCTGCTGCCGCCTCGTACTCCCTCCTACTTCCTCCCACGTCTGCCTGCGAACTCCTGCCTCCTCCTCGAATCTACGACCTCCTCCTATGTCTTCCACCGCAATCGCGTCTTCCACCACAATCGCGCCCTATCTCTTCCACCCCAAAGAGACCCTCACGAAGCCCCCAGAGGCCCCCAAGAGGCCCCCACGAGGCCCCCAGGCGGCCCCAAGAGGCCCCCCAAATGCCCCCCCGAGCACGCAAGCAAGTCCCAGCGATGCCACAATATGAGGCAGCGGAATGAGCGAAGCAATTAAATAACAATGCAAAACGATAAACTCAACCCGATGCCCCCCGCAAGATATCTGGAACCCGATTTTGAGCAGGTTTCGTACATCCTACGAGAAGGAGGAGGAGGAGGAGGAGGAGGAGGAGGAGGAGGAGGAGGAGGAGGAGGGGGACTAGAAGGAGGAAGAGGAGAAGGAGGAGTGGGAGAGGAAAATGTAGGAAAAGAGCGAAAGAAGAGTAAGCGGAGGAACAGGCGAAGAAGGAAGAGAAGAGAAGGAAGACGCGCTTAGGACGGACGCAGGAGACCGAAGGAGAAGTCGATGCCGGGACACGCCGCGTCTGTCCCCTCCCCCTCGTCATCCAACGTGTCCTCCTCCTGCTCTTCTTCCTCCTCCTTCTCCTCCTCCTCCTCCTCCTCCTCCTCCTCGTCCTCCTCTCTCCTTCTAACACCC